AAAAAAAGAGTGCTTTATGTGCAAGCAAAAGGAGCTAAGTTGGAATTCCTAACATCTATGTAAAATATGGGACAGCTACACATGCCTGTAACTCCAGCAGTGAAAGGTGAAGAAAGCTGGATCTTTTTGATGAGCAACCTTAGACAAAATGTCAAGTTCTCACTTTCTATAGTAATTCTGTCACAAAGAAATAGGGAGGAGAGTGAGTGAAGTCAGCTGGTTTCTGTGTGGACATGCATAACTGTACACATTTACACACTCAAAAGCATGTAACACATATGTACACACACACACTGGTACACAGACCCAAGTGCAAGGAAGGAATAAAATCAAATAATAGACAACAAAGGCCCATAGACTTCATCAGTAGTGCACTCTTTTTGAAATTTGGGGAGTTCTTTGCAGTTCATGGCTGCTAAGTGAAGAAGAGTCACTTTTCTTCAGACATGTTGCCACTGGCAGATTGCCTATGCTTCAGTATATAACTTTATATACAAGGACATTTATGTATAATTGATTCTAGGCTCTGTGAGTTATTAAACACAGAAGAATAGGTTATGAAGTTGGAGGAGTACATGAGAGGGAACATCTGGAAGGGGTGATTGGAAGGTGGATGTGATCAAGACATTTTGTGTGTACATGTATAAACTCTGAAAGAATAAATCCAAAATTAAAAAGCATGCTCTCTTCAAAAAGGAGTTACAAATATTTACATTCATTTTACATTCATGGGGTAATCCATTAAGATTCTTTATATTGTGGTTTATTTGACTATTCTAAAGAATGTATTGATATATATCTGTGATTAAAAGGGGCCTTGTGCTTTTGGTGATATATACTTTCTTTCAGGTGATCTTACCAAGATTTGCTTCAAATACCTCTGTTTTCTAAAGCAACAAGAAATAAAGAGGAAACAAAATTGTACAGGATTTATTCACTTTTAAAGTTATATTGGGAGAGACATTATACTATTATCTTTACACATACATATATTTGAAATTTTACAGGATAAAAAATGGTGTGGGAGGGTATAGATGAGAGAACAACTTCACACCGGTAAGTTAGTATTTAATAATCTATCAATACCAAGGGACAGAAGTTTACATGATAACATATATATGAAGCAGAGAGAATGATCAGGAAATGTCAGCATGGTATACAAAATCAGAAACTGTTAGATGGATCAAAGATATTATGAATGGTTTGGTATAAAGGAAGCTAAGGCAAATTGTATTTTAGAGGATTGCTTCATTAGAATTATAGTCTTAATGCACAGCATGGCCTGGGTCCTAAAGGGAGTCAGGCTTCTCTGTTATGAATGATAAAGGGATTTTTTTGTTCTTACATGATTTGCAGGCTGAAGGATGTGGAAGGAGAGGAGTCACATATATATGAGCTAGTCAATATACCAGGAGTAACCAAGTAAGTAGGCCTATATGAAAATTAATTTCTGGTTCAAAATTGTTTGGGGTCTGGCTAATGGGGTGGTGCTTGCTTTAGAGCTTTAAGGGCTGGGTAATAAGGAGAATGCAAGTATCAGACTAGACTTGTTTAGCAACTGTACAGAAAGAGCTGCTGAGGGAAATGGCCTGATTTCTATGGGAAAATCAAGCAGCTAGAAGATCTGTAACATAACAAAAATATACACACATGCATTCAAACCATGTTTATGTAAGAGAAAATTTATCGCATAAATTTCACAAATAAATTGTCATCATGTGTACAATTACATGCATGTGTGCATTGTATGTGGACACAAAGTTATCCATGGAAAATAATGCAAAACTCTCAAATACAGGATGATGTGAATTACTGAGCTAGAAAGCTTATGTTTTCCTGTGGCATTGGGCAGTGGTTGATCACTCTAAAATACTAAGAAGTACTGTTAAATGATATTAGAATAGTTTTCTGTCAAGTTATTGTTTGATTTTATAGTTAACATCATTTCAATGTTCAATGCTTTCTGTGAGCGAGTATTATAGACAGCAGACAGATTTTACTCCATATCTGGAAATCTTGTGAGGGAGATTCCCCTTTGTTGGCGAATGGTTAGGTTGTCCTCAATTCTCAGATAATTCACAATCACTCTGAGTGTGCTCTGTCAGCACACTGGGCCCCAACTGTGGTAGTTTGAATGTAACTGGACCCCATAATCTCATAGACAGTGGCATTATTAGAAGGTGTAGCTTTGGTGGATTGGGTATGGCCTTGTTGGAGGAAGTGTGCCACTGCGGGGTGGGCTTTGAGTTTTCCTACGCTCAGGATACTTCCCAGTGTCTCAGTTGACTTCCTGTTGCCTGCAAGATGTAGCACTCTCAGCTCTAGCACCACATCTGCCCACACACTGCCATGATGATATTGGACCGAACCTCTGAAATTGTAAGTGAGCCCCCTCAAACAAATTTCCTTTATAAGAGTTTCCATGCTCGTAGTATTTCTTCATGGCAATAGAAATGCTAACTAAGACACATGCCACTGAGGATGATGAGATGTTCCAGTCGTGACAGTTTCATCATTGAGAAGTGTTCAATTTGGAGAAAAAGCTACCATAGCCGTGCTTTTAATATATAAAGTACACGGCAAGCAGGTGTAAAATAGCGTGAAAAATACTTGAGACGATGTCAGACATCAATAGAAATGGGCAAG